GTGCAGACAATATAGTAGCCTCTCTCTCCAGCTGCTTTGTGCGCATGCGGTGAACATTCAAGCACGTTTGGGCATTTCTCTTTCTCGCGTTCTTTCCAATGCTTTGTCTCGCTCGCACTCGCTTAGTAGACGCGCCTGCGCATAATGACGCTCGACTATCTATGCCCATATTTGGACTTCGTGCGTCTTCCTTTCTCGGGCCTTGTGCCTCTCATTGCGAAGATACGCGACTAGCAATATAGGAGTATTACATATATGATCGCGGACAGCTCGCACCTTAGACCATATATACTTATAGACACGGCTTCAGACAACTATCTTGAAGCAAAGATAATATCATCTACATGACGTCACATGTGGGCAAAGCAAGGGCGCGTTTATAGACGACTTCAGATAACTGCCTTGAAGATAAGATAATATCATCTACGAGGCCGCGTTTAGCCATTGCTGAAATGCCCACATGTGACGTCACGTAGATGATATTATCTTTGCTTCACCTCGACTCGTGGATTCATATCTACAGGCCGTGTCTATAAGTATATATGGTCTAAGTGCCAGTACATGAAGCGCGGAAACGCGGAACGCGGAAAATAGTAACTAGATTTCGCGTTTCCGCGAATTGAGTTTGTTTCTTCCCGCACGTTTGAGCGGAAAAGCAGAATCCGATATTTCCGTGTGTATCAAGTACATAAGTATATAATTGTATAAAAAATAAAAACATTGTTAATGGATGGTCCAAGGCTTCTTTTTTTGTTTGATGGCTCTGAAAGAATCTCTGCCACATGGCCAAGAATCGCGTTGACAATATTTTGACGCTCTTGTTCCGCGGGTTTGTTTCTCCTTATATTACATGAAGCACAATTACGCGGAAAACCGGAACGATATAGTGACAAATAGATATTGTATTTATTTTAAAAAATTGATTTCTCTTAATTCACTGCAATTTTTATTAATATGCTTATTTTTTCAGTTTATCTATTGAATACAAAAATTTTGATCAGTAAATATTGTTAAAAATTGATATTTTTCCGCACAACATCCTGCGAACGGCTCTTCATGGACAATTTACATTCATTTATCTTGAAAAGATTACAGAGCCTGAGATAATTCTTATTTATGACTTTAAAACAACACGCTGTCGGAAGAAAAGCGGTATATCAGAACATCTTAACTAAATGTACGTGATATTGCGAGAGAGACTCCAAGTGCCTCGGTAGCCTAACAGGGAAGGCGACGGCCCGGAAAGCCGGAGATTCCAGGTTCGACTCCTGGCTGAGGAGTATTTTTTCGCAATATTTTAAAATTATTTCGGGGGGTATTCGGGGTCTTTCATATACGAGATGCAAAACTAGCATCCTATATGAATTTAAAGAATTGAAATTTCAATTAAAAAACTCACATGAAAAATGTGAGCACGTTTATTCATATGTGTGCACATGTGTATATTTATACACAGGCATATTTTCCGCACAACATCCTGCGAACGGCTCTTTATGGACAATTTAAATTCATTTATCTTGATATTTTATAATTTTCCATTACGCTTTTTCGCACAATATATGCTCCATGTAATATCAGAGAGAAACCTGAGAGCGGCCATCCTTATGTAATTTTTTACGACGGTTTCAGCCGCTGGTTTTAGCCGTATTTCCACAAAAGTGGAACTCAAAGGCCGGTCTACATTAAACGCAAGTGACAGATCTCGTGGAATTGACCAATTGCAGAGTCAAATCAGCCAATCGACCAACGTGATTGATCTGTTCCACGAGACCTGCGACTTGAGTTTCATAGAGAACGGCCTTTGAGTTCCACTTTTGTGGAAATACGGCTAAAACCAGCGGCTGAAACCGTCGTAAAAAATTACAATAGGATGGCCGCTTTCAGGTTTCTCTCTGGTAATATAAGGTAATCAAAACAGACGGAACGGAACGCGCGGAAACACAGAAATCTAGTAAAGTCTAGTTATTTTTTACTTCCGCGTTTCCGCGTTTCCGCGCTTCATGTACTGGCACTCTCAAGCTTCTCTCTGATATACGTCACTTGAGCCGGTGTTCACACAATGTCTTGCTAAACTTCGGTTGTAGACAATTCATTTATGATGAAACATTAATTTTATCCGAAAAAATTACAAGACGAATAGAATTATAACATGTCAAAATTACAATTAAGTTTACATTTAAGTATTAGTAAAAAGTATTAATTTTGATAATTTGTGCTGTTTACTTACAGGATTTCTTATATCTTTATTTAATGTTTTATGAATACATTTTTATGGAATGTGAATACATTTGAAGCGTAAGATATTTTTTGCATATAAGTGTAATTAATTGTAAACGATGAGGTATATCTGTGCCAATCTCAAGTCCTTCATAACATTGGTCATTATTACGAAACACATTTGCGTTTAATATATATCTGCGTGTTACCTGAGAAATAATTTTTGAGAGTATGCTTTTGTATTCGGTAGATTATTTATACTTTTTGCTACGGACTGCAAGAACTCAAGTTCGGTGGCACAAATAATTTTTTGTACATTATTCGATGCATACACTAAACCTCCGTTATTTTTTACATCAAATAATATTGTATATGATGCGTTTTCTTGTCTATCGCCTTTTTTCCTAATGAGATTAGCAATACAACCTTTGCAGCTTAATTTAAGAAGCATGTTTTTTACTATAAAACCCGCTACATAATATAAAATATTTTCTTTCAGGAAATTATTGTCGGTTACATTAATAGTACAGTATAGTTCTTTGTTTTCAACATCAGAAAATAAATTGTCATTATTACTGATATCAGAATTCATGATATAAATATTGAGTGGCATTTACTTGGACACCGTTCAATTAGACACGTTGCAATTAGACACGGTGCAAATAGACACAGAATTTTAGACACGGTTCAATTAGACACGTTGCATTTGGACACGGAAGAAAATGCGTACCGTTCATTTAGACACAGAAAGATGCGCACTGTTCAATTAGACACTGTTCACTTGCGCACCGTTCGTTTGTACACAAAAAGATGCGCACCGTTCACTAAGACACCGTAATAATGCACACCGTTCACTTAAGGTTTGTTCGCGTCGCATGCCCCAATATCCTATTCGCTCCAACGCGCTTTTTTTCAATGAAACTTTAATGAAACTTCAAAACTTTTTTAATAAACTTTTTCAATAAAAAAAGTCGCACTCAGTGCGCACTAATGCAGGCTACCGAATTTGCTGTTAGGGCGCGTTAGGGCGAGTAGGAGCATGTTGGGGCATGCGACGCGAACAAAACT